GGAAGCTTGAACCGGTTCATGTTTGAAGCTGGAATTGGTTCATTCCAATGGGAGCGTCTGCATATGCAGAACAAGGTATAATTGAGCCCTCAAAACCTACCGTATATTGCACCCATTTCCCTTGCTCTGACTACCTGAAAATGAATTGCTTGGAAATTAAGACAAAATCTTTGTTAAAGGGGATGTTCCCAGATGGGATAAGAAACAGTTAACCCAGCCAATTTGCTTCTAGCCAGAAAATGGATGCAGAACAGAGGAGAAGCCCTGGCGCCTCTATAACTTGGAGAGAAGGAGAAAGCTAGCTAACGTAGATACTCAACTAGTCGACTTCATATATAAGTGGAGGGCAGGTTTGTGGGCCAAAATTATGGATCTTGATATGACCCATGGAAAAGTCAAGGGTAAAACATAAGGGCATGTAACAAAGGATGTAAAGGATAAAGCAAAGGAAAATGATGCTAAAGAACATACAAAAGTCCAGCAGACAGAACTCTGCTCACCATAATTCTGGTGCTTCTTTTTGGTGCTCCTGGGATGAACTACGCTTTTGTCTTTCACCACTCTTTTCAGAGAAGGGGATAGTTCCTTTTTTATACAACAGTTAAAGTACAGTACTTATTTTGACCCATGGATAAGTTGACCCAATTTTTTGGGATCCATTTTTTTCTACTCAAATTTATAGTCATATATATGAGTATATATAGTAAGTAAATGTGTAAGACCTCCGCTGGAGAGTCTTTGCAAACTGCAGCAACAAACCAGTTAATCCTTGCAAACTTTAGCAAGGTGCTGCTATACAAACTGAACTGGAGATTTGGATGCAACCCTTGCCTGGATTTGACCCCTCCAAACCGTAGAACATGCCCCTAGAGATGGCCCAGGAAAACTGGAAATTTAGGCTCGGGTCCTGCAATATAGCAACCTTTAGCAAACTACGCAGCTTTGGGTTTCATCTCTTTGAGTTGGGCCCAATGCATAGCACCTTGAAATACAGGATGAAAGATATACTGTAAACAAGCACAACTGAACACTCATGTCTCAACCAAGTTATTACAAAAGACAGAAGATATCCATCACACGTATTTCACATTTTGGGGATGGGGCATTGGAAACAACTTCTCCACTCCCAGAATGGGAAAACCCAAGCAAACCAACCTTTTCTGCTTGGAGGCAGGGTGGGATATGAATGTAATAAAGGAAGAATACCACAACATTTCCCTGTGCTGTTTCTCTTTCTTTCTTAAATTGGACCCATAACCCTTCAGCTGTTCCAGCAAAAATGAGCTGGCGGGGCTAGTTATCTTATCAGAAACAAACCAGTTTAGTGTAATGGTGCCAAGGCACTTTGTTTTTCTTAGCACTAAAAAATGAATAAATGAACTTATGGATGTTATCCACAGTAGATATATAAAATGCAGCATATAGAAGGGCAGCGTGAAGTCCCACATGGCCATTTTACACTGCCAAGGACCCTCAATATTACCCCCATTGGAATTTTTGAAAAACAAAATATACTCCAAAATGGAATTTCACTATGTTTGTGCTCCCCGCCATGAATATTTTAAGCCCAGGAGAAGACTTTTTCCAAGCAGGAAATGCACAAGACGTTGATCTCTTGAACCTGATTTTTTAAAAAAATCTTTTAAAATATCACATTTTCACTTTAACCACATGAAACTATGGATACGTAAACACTTTTATTCTGTGTGTACGGTATTGTAATTTAAAGGTATAATTTTAATTTTGCTAGTTATGTCACAACTATTACCATTACATCCAGTGGTATATGGGAATTATGATTTATGTGTCAATTAGTACAAAAAGCATTACTAAGGATGTGGTATGGAAGGAGGTCAAGGGTGTGTGTGTGTGTGTGTGTGTGTGTGTAACACCATGAATTACCGCACCGGATGACACCAACCCTAGTGATGCCACTGAGAGTGGCATTAAATATCTACCAACCAATGCCTTCTAAGTAACACATCTCCAGTTTCCATGAATAATCAAATCCGCAAAAGTCAAAACTGCAAATGTGGAGGGACGACTCAAGATGTCCTTTTGGGGCAATGCATTGATGACCAGCCTAGTCTCTTTTAGCCTACTCTGCCACACAGGTCTGTCTGACTTTAATGGCTGAAACTAGTCATTTCAGAAGAAGACAGCTGCTAAATCCACAGAAACAAGATAAATTACTAGAGACAACTGTCTTGCTCAAGAGCCGAGTCCAAACCATTGGCACACATACTAACTCTGCTCAGGTGAACTAATAATACTCTCTCATACCTCGAAGGGCTCTTTCCACCTAGCACTATTCCCATTTGTCATTCTATTTACTCAAGCTAAGAATGTGCAGCACCCATCTCCTTTCTTCTAGATTGCAGACATTTAAAAAATAAATAAAATTTAATCCAAAAGTACTCAAGTTGCCTGCTTATTTCAGAGTTCAAGTATACTGTAATACATTCCAAGCCAGTACATTTTGCAGGCATGACCAAACACGTCAACCATGCTCAGTCTCACCGCCAGTGTTGTCGCTAGATTAATTCATTAAGGTTCAGTTAAGATTATAAAATCCAGTTTTTAAACAAAAGCCACTCCACATTTGTATCTGCTCTTTAAAACATTTTGGCTGTCATTACCTGAACAACTTGAAAAGAAGCCATACATTCTGCCCACTGCCAGGTTCCTGTAATTTTTGGCTAAATCATATCCAGAAAAAGCAAACACAAGTGGTGGTTTCCTGACCCTATTGTCTTTCATAACTATGTCTGTGGCTAAGGGCAAATTCTCACATACACCTCACTACTTGAGGTCTGAGACGAGACGGTAGAAATCAGGGTTGTGGAATTGGTACAACAGATCTTTGAGTCCAGTCCCACTATTTTTTACATTTGCATCATACAAAGCAAATGCACATTTATTGGTGATACAAATGTATATCTATAGGTGATACCAAATTTATTAGAGAGCCAGCATGGCGTAGTGGTTTGAGTGTTGGCCAGGGTTCGATCCCCAACTCAGCCATGAAAACCACTGGGTGACCTTGGGCAAGTCACATGCTCTCAGCCTTAAAGGAAGGCAATGGCAAACCTCCGCTGAACAACTCTTGCCAAGAAAACCCCAGGATAGGGTTGCTTTAGGGTGGCCATAAATTGAAAATGACTTGAAGTCAAGAATGACTTGAGAGAACGCGACAACAACAACCAAATGTATTGTAGTGAAATGATTACTAAAGTGTGGTGTAGTGGTTTGAGTGTTGGACTAGGGCTCTGGAGAACAGGGTTCTATTCCCCACTCTGCCATGAAACCCACTGGGTGGCCTTGAGCAAGTCACATGCTCTCAGCCTCGGAGAAAGGTCATGGCAAACACACTCTGAACAAATCTTGCCAAGAACCCCATGATAGGTTTGCCTTAGGATGGCATAAGTTGAAAATGCCTTGAAGGCACACAACAAGAAGAACAAAATGGTTACACAAGGCACAAGGAATATACTACTTAAACATAAGGAAAACACAGTTTAGCCTAATTGCCTTCCTCAGGTAGAGACACTCAGTGAGAGCCCTTTGGCAGAACCTGCCACTTTGCATCACCTGAGGCCATGTTAACTTTCTTTGCTCTGCTGTGAACAAGAATGGCCACTATGTCAGGTTATAATAGGTGCGGCTTTGCAAAGATGCCATGCCAATCATAACTCTGGAATTCCTTTCCCTGTAGCCACAAAGTTCATCCCACAGAAAAGTTGTTGTACACCCCATATTCAATGTTGTCAGGAGTGTTTCAGGAGGGACGTTTACCTCCGCAGCCACTACTGTTGCAGTATAAAGGCGCACACCTCAATGTACAACAACTGCTCAGATGTATCACTTGCAACAGATATGGAGATCCCTTGGCTCTACAGGCATTTGGACTACAAACTCCTCCATCTCTTGGCTATAATGTCTGGGGCTAAAATACATGGAAGGCTCAACATTAACTTCTTCTCTATTAAAGTATGGTTTAGCATCCGAATTGGGGTCACACTTGTACCACTTACAAGAGAAGCAGATATCCTTTGACCTTCTAACTTCCATAATTCCTTCTCAATGGCTGTGCATGGTAGCGTTGCTGGTTGCTGAAGGCCAAGACAACTTAAAATCTAATGCAACTGGATGCTTAAAATCCTCCCTCACACTGCAGGGCTTAAGCACACTTAAGAGACTACCCAGAAGGCTGTCTTACATATTAGAGTCATTACTTTTTATCTTAGATAAAGCAGTCTCTTTTTAAAAAAGGGCTTAAACAGTACATGACCCACTTGTCAAGGACAATTCCTCCACAGGCATCTTTTATTCCAGCTCAAACTTCATTTTCACTTTAAGATCTGGATAGACAGTTAGTCTACCCAAGTTCTTATCTGTTCTGCATGCCTGTCTCATTTCTACATTAAAGTACAGATTTCTTTTCTAAAAGCCACACACACACATTTTGAATGTATTTTTCACAAATTATACATTTGAAAAAGCTAACACACATATTTAAGCCACACATTTGGCATTTTTGTGTGACATGCATCACAAAGTGCAAAATCCAACAGAACATGGCATTGTGATCTGCACATTAACCCTCTCAGCTTCCAAGTCAGCTTGCAGTTCAAATGCATAAAGACTCAAACCCTGAATTAAGAATTAAATTGATAAGAACGTAAACATTTAGTTACCATCCCACATGAGAGCAATTCTCAGCATGTCAGCATTTGCACATGTGTCAAAAATGACTTGAAGGCAAACAACAACAACCCTAAGTCTGATAACCAACCAAGTCTCCACATATTGTAAGATGCAGAGTTTTTTCCTCATCCAGCAAACAAACAGGGCTTCAAAACAAAGGACTTTTCTTGTTAAGGTCTTCTTTGGGTTGATAGTGGGTCCTTTCCATGAATGTGGGCATTAGCAGATGGCTAATGATGTCAGTACCCACCACTATCCCTATAATCTATTTCATGCACATAGACAAAATAGGAGCCAGTGTGGTGCAGTGGTTCGAGTGCTGGGCTACAAAACTAGAGACCAGGGTTCAAATCCCCTCCCAGCCATGGGAACCCACTGAGTGACCTCAAACAAGTCATACTCTTTCAGATTAAAGTCTACTACGGCACTATCAAAAGTTACACACAACTACAAGGAGGCTGGAGAACAAATGGGAAGAACTAATGAATGAATGAATTAATTAATGAAGAAGAAAGGCAAACTGCAAGAAAGTCTGGCCTATGCTGGTCACCCATAGCCCAGGGTGGAGAACCTTATAAATGTTCTGACCTGCAACTCCTATCAGCTGCCTCTTCAGTATGGTCAATGGTAAAGGGCTGTGGGAATTACAGTCCAAACCATTTGGAGGGCCAAAGGTTCTCTGCCCTACCCTAGCTTCTGTATTTTCTGTAGCTGTGGTTCCCAATATTTGGCCCTCCGGATGTTTTGGACTTCACTTTTCAGGATCCTTGACTATTGGCCAAGCTGACTGGGGCTTCTAGGAGATAAAGTCAAAAGCACCTGGAAAACCAAAGTTTGGAAACCACACTGATGCTGGTGTGATCAACAGTAGCTTTCCAGACATTGGACTCCAGCTCTCATTGGCCCTAGCCAGCATTGCCAGTGGTGATGGATACTGGAAGTTGCAGTCCAACCAGATCTGTGGGGCTACCACTGCCCACTCCTGCACTAAAAGCCACAACTATGGTGGCTTTCACAGCCCCTGAAGAAAATTCACTAGTTAGCTTAAACATGTGCATCTGAAGGCTTATTATAAATGTAGTGTCAACTTGGATATGTCATTGAGTGCCAATATATACCCCAGAGACTAGAGGGTCTTCAGTTGTTACCAAATTACAACTCTCATTGTCCATTACCACTAAATGGGGAAGATAGGAGTTAAAATCTATCAGCATTTGGAGGGTCACAAGCTCTTTGCCCCTACTATGTGTACACACACACACACACCTTGGGAGTTGGAAGTGGAACATAACCACATCACTATCTGTGGAACAGAGCTGAACCAGACCTGTGCCAAGAGAATGTCTTGCAGACTACAAAGAAACTATATATATATATATATATATTATTAGCAAACTTGGATTCGTGCAAGGCCTTTTCCTATGCTAAGTTGGCACAATTTTAGATCAGTTTCTATCTTGAGTACAAGACCTTAAAAAACCTTAAATCTGCTGTACACCAAGAGTCTGAGCTGGAAATTGAGCCCCAAGAGACATGAATCTTGCAGTTTTCCCAACATATCAGTCAATTACCTCCCAATTAATGGGGAGTTGGAATGGAGGAGAGGAAAGACCATAGAGGAGAACTTCTATTCCATCTTCTAATCTCTCACGACCTGCTTGGCCTAAAGCAAGAAGCCTTCTGGCAGGCTTGCTAGAACTTTTCTATACTCAGACCAACACTCTTTCCCAAGTATTGGTCTTGGCCCTGAAAGTAAACTTCTCAGAGATTGCAAGTACACAGAGTGCCCCAAATGTATCTAGAAATAGGATCTGTTGAGGTTTTCCTTTACTCCCTCCACTCCTTTTCCTTTGGACAGCTCCAGGGGTGTAGTGATGGTGGGGGATGAAAGCATTGCTCCCCATCCAAGAGCCCACCATACTACTCAGTGTCCCCTTTGGCCCCAACATTTCTAGCATTTGCAAGAGAGAGTAAGAACTATTTTCTTTGCTGTGTTCATGTCTCTTTGCCTGCCCCTTTTCTTTGGTTGTCAAAACTGTTTTAAGTTATTGAAAGGCTAGAAATTTGGAAGCTGAAGGAAAATGCATTGAGGGTGCACAGAATTCTTATTTGGGAGGGCAATACCCTCATTATTAATTCCCCATACTACAACCTTCCATCAAAATACAAAACCCTGTTCCAAACTAGGGTAGTACAGTGGGTCCTTGGTATACGCCAGTCTTTGGTTCCAGGAGCCCCTGTGGGTACCAAAATCCCACTAAATCCAATGCATAGTGAATTGGTGTGCCTTATGTAAAATAACGACATCAAGGTTTGCTTTCTGGAATTTATATTATTTGGAATATTTTCAAGACATGGATGATTGAATCCATGGATCCGGAAGGCCGACTATGAGTACATTTAAAATGTATGCAAACAGAACATTTATCTCAGATCTCACTTCTACCTCGCAACTGTGTCTATTTCCATAATCAAGTTATGATATAGATACTTTGGGGCTGTAGTACCAGATTTTATCTCAGTGGATATAAATACTCATGGGAGGAGGAGACCATACATGCATACATACATACACACACTTTTCTAGCTGCTAATTCTGACCAGTAATGACTTGTCTTCCCCACATCAGAAGATATCCTGCCATTTTGAGACTTGTATCTGTCCAACAGAGAAGAACCCCAGAACTTTGCATAACAACCCAGGATTTTTTGACATGGCATCTCCACATTCCACTCAAACAACATTTGGAAATGCAGAATCACATGAAGAAGCAGCGTAGGGACTCCTTCTTAGCTAGTTCTTCCTCTCTGTGGCTCAAAACTGAGAGGCAACTTGGTGTATTGGTTTGAGTGTTTGACTATGACTCTGGAGAACAGGGTTCAAATCACCGCCTGGCCATGGAAACCCACTGGGCACCTCACACTCTCAGCCTGAGAGGAAGGCAAAGGCAAACCTCCTCTTGGCAACAAAGCTTGCCAAGAAAACCCCATGATAGGTTTGCCTTAGCGTAGCCATAAGTCAGAAATGACTTGAAGACACAACGGCAACAGGTGAAATCTACGGGAAGGACCATAGGTAATGGGCCCAAACCATAGATGCCTAAAAAGTTGCTGGGTAGGCACAGAAAGGTGTTTCAGCTGGCCAAGTCAATGGTCAGGCTTTCACCTTGGATGGCTGGAAGTTATAAATTTATATTTTGAGGAGAATGGAGTGACCTGTCAATGACCCATGACTGTCTGCCAAGGTCTGTAGTTGGAACAGGGTTGGAATTTCATGTTTATTTAGGCTGAGGCTGCATCTCAGGATAACAAGGCTGGAATTAATTCAGTAATACTTGGTGTTGTTTTTTTAAAGCCTTTAGAATAGAATAGTATCTTAGAATTGGAAGGAGCCACAAGGGCCATCACATCCAACCATCTGCTATGTAGGAATACATAACTAAAGCATTCCTGAAAGTTTCCCAATCAATCTCCATTTAAACACCTCTACAGATGGAGAGAACACCCCCGAGTCAGTCTATTCTGCTACTGAACACTTTTTAGGATAAAGAAGTTATTTCTAACATTTAGGTAGAATCTCTTCCCTTGTGATTTGAATCGATGACTGCTGTCATTTCCAGGATTCACCATTGTGCTGTAATAGGCTTCCCAACACCCTCATTGAGGGAACTTGAGAAGTATCTGGCCATGTCTTCATAACCAGGCACAAATGGAGGACATCCTCCACTCTGGAAGTCTTGGCAGAGGATCTCAATGGGCTGAGGATCTCAATGAGATCATAGCCAAATGCACTTCCAACTCCCCCACACCATTCTCCACCAGTAACAGAACGGCCAACAGAATTCGGGGGGACTATTACAGTGCATGCCTAAGTACCCTAAAGCCACCAGATCCCTTCTGATCTTGGAAGTTAAACAGGATCAGCTCTGGTTAGTGCTTGGATGGATGAATACCAGGTGATGCTGTAGCCTATGGGCTTGTACAGACTGCCAGAAATAATCCAGCTTGAGACCACTTTGGCTCTGGCTCAATGCTAGGGAATCATGGGAATATTGTGGCACCAGAGCTCTCTGACAGAGAAGGCTCAATGTCTCAGAAAAAAAACTACAATTCCCATGATTCCCTAGCATTGAGCCAGGACAGTTAAAGTGGTCTCAAGCTGGATTATTTCTGACAGTCTGTACAGGCCCTAAGTTATAGAGGCAGGAGCTGGCAAAACACATCTCTGAGTATTCTCTGCCTTAAAAACCCTATAAAATTCAGAAAGTCACCATAAGTCAACAGGTGACTCGAAGGAACGCACAAATCTATAGTGCAACAGCAAGTCCTGGGGAAAGTGGGAGAGAATATGCAACAGCCTGCAACAGCCCCCCTTTCCAAAGCACATGCAGACTTATGCCTCCCTGTATCACTAAAAAAAACCCAAAACCCAGCATCTTTAACACTTCCTTAGAAAGGGGAATAAATGCAAGGAGCCTGCTTTAACAATTGAATCCTAACACATCAGCACTACTGCTAATGCTACCAGACTCTGCTGTAAGCACTCTTTCCACCTCACTGGACTACAACAACCCAAACCAATCCTGCAACACAGAGGGTTATATAATGGCATAATAGGCATATCAACAAATCCACAATAAAAATGGTGTCAAGTTTACTTAGAAGACGAACAATGTTATCTCATCTTCCCATCAGCCAAACAAATCCAAGGGGCTTTGATGGATCTAAGGTTTTGTTTAGCAGAACAGGAGCCAATGAACAAACCTCAGATAATCTGCAACACCTCCTTGGGCAGATAGGAGAAGATGCAATGGAAGCAGCAATGGAAGCACATCTTGCTGGCCTCGCCATCATGCAATTAATAATAATAATAATAATAATAATAATAATAATAAGCCTGATCATATCTCCAAATGTGTGCTTGGTAAGCTACATCACAAAGTGGGCTCCCTTTGCACTTGGCCACCCAAAATGTTTCATCATTTATCAGAGAACTGGACCAATTCCTCAACATGTCTCAGGAAAAAAAATACAATTTTCTGAGACATTGAGGGAAATAAGGGGCACAATTTATTTATGTATGTTTAGTGTAGTATGAAAGTAGTGTAGAAATATAGGCAACATTGCCATCCCACTAACCAAAACTGTAATCCCATTGTGGAAAAAGAGCAGGATATCAATCCTTGAAATAAATAAATCTCATGGTGCACCAGGTTGCTTTTTGAACAAAATGTCTCCCTTCAGAGGATATGATGCCTTAGCATTACAGCTGCTTCATACTTTATCATATTTTCTTGGTTTACTTTTAATAATAATAATAATAATAATAATAATAATAATAATAATAATAATAATAAATTTTATTTATAGCCCATCTCTCCCTGTGGATCAAGGCGGGTTACAACAATTAGGAATAACAATAAAATACAATATACAATTAAAACCAGATTTCTAAATAACCCTTACCCCAACTCCCCCTCCCAATCATAAAAAAAGAAAAAGAAGCAATCTAAAAACAATAGCAATATAAAACAAATAGCAATATAAAATACTAATTAAAAGCAAACATATACTTTTTATATATTGCTGAAATGAGCCTTTCCCTTCCACCAGCTATTCATCCAAGGTCAGAATCCATTCTGTAATTTGTCTCTTTCATTTTTTCCTAATTTGGTTCCATTCCCCAAGGAAACAAAATGAATTAAAAAGTAGCCAACCAAGCAATATGCAATGCAACAATTGCTTTCTAACTATGGCACTAAGTGAAGACAACAATTACTTGATACACATGGTAGCAAGTAACAAGAATGATGAACTGTTAACAAGTAACTTTTTACTTGTCCTGGCTTCCTTTTTGGGCTAAGCATAAAAGTCCTGATCATTGGATGCAAGAAAACATCCCTTCCAGTGCTACATTGTTTAAAAAAGAAAACACTAAAATATCCTTTCACAGAAGAAGCTCAGAAAGTGAGTGTTTTTGCTTGCTTCTATTATTACAGCCATATGCAAGCTTTTAAGTCATTTTTTAAGATAGCATCCACTGAGAGACACTAAGGTGAAACCTCTGCAATTTAAGATGCTTTTAAGCTAACTTTTAAAAGGTTAGAAATATACCTTCTTCACACGAGACAATAATAATATACTGCAAGTATAATTCACCAGCATGGCATTAAAATGCCATTCTAATGCAAGCAAAAATCCAATTACAGTAGAAGGCATTAATCCAGCAACAATTAAAAGCCAAGTGAAGCATCCAGGTTTTTGAAGCAGACTTTACCCAAAAAATGGGGAAACCATAGGAAAAGCCCTGTCTCTTGGGCTTAGTATGGTTTAGTGCAGTGATTCCCAAACCTTGGTCCTCCAGGTGTTTTGGACTTCAGCCCCCAGAAGCCCCAGCCAACTTGGGCAACAGTCAGGAATTCTGGGAGCTGAAGTCCAAAACATCTGAAAGACCAAAGTTTGGGAACCACTGGTTTAGTGGTTTGCGTTTTGGACTATGACTCTGGAGATCAGGGTTCGAATCCCTGCTTGCTCATGGAAATTCAGCATGCTGCAATGGTTTGAGTGGAGAACTAGGACTCTGGAGACTGGGGTTTAATTCTCTCCTCAGCTATGGAAGCCTGCTGGGTGACCTAGGGTGAGTCACACCATCTCAGCCCCAGAAAACCCCATGATAGGTTTACCTTAGGGTCACCATAAAATGGAAAAATGACTTGAAGGGACACAACGGCAATATTGGGCAAGTCATACTCTCTCAGCCTCAGAGGTAAATCCCCTCTCAATAGATCTTGCCAAGAAAAACAAACGATAGACTTGCCTTAGGGTTACCATAAGTCAGAGGCAACTTGTAGGCACACAACAACAACAACAACCTGGTCTTATAAATACTACCAGTGGCATCTGAACAAAGCCTCCATGGTCCATCTTAGGCTCCAGAGAGGATTCTATAAGTGGAGATCATTCTTCTTTTAAACCTGGATCCAAGCCATCCAAGGCTCCAAACCACCCCATCCTCTAGTCCCATGTTTCCCAAACTTTGGCTCTCCAGATGTTTTGGACTTAATAATAATAATATAATAAATTTTATTTCTAACCCGGCCCTCTGCAAAGCAACCGGGGCGGCGTACAACAGATTAAAACAATACAAGAGTAAAACACATCTCCAAATATGTGTAAAGAGTAATATAAGAGTAAAACACATCTCCCACCCTAACCCTCCCACCCCTTAAAAATAGATTAAACTAGAATAGTATTATTCTGGGAGACTTCGGGCCTTTGCAGACTGCCAGAAATAGTGCACATTAAATTAAGGCACTGCCCTGGCTCAGTGCTAGGGAATCATGGGAACTGTAATTTATTGTGGCACCAGAGCTCTCTGATGGAGAAGGCTCAATGTCTCAGAAAAAAATGCAATTCCCATGATTCCCTAGCACTGAGCCAGGGCAGTGCCTCAATTTAATGTGCACTATTTCTGGCAGTCTGCAAAGGCCCTTCATCTCCCAGAATTCCTGACTATTGGTCAAGCTGGCTAGGGCTTCTGGGAACTGAAGTCCAAAACACCTGGAGGACCAAAGTGTGGGAATCACTGCTCTTGTCCATGCAAACAACCAGGGAGCAGGATTCAGCATCAGCTTCCAAACCTTCTCCAGAACCACATTCTCTTACAATAGTCTAATCTAGCTGTGATAAGGGTATGAATTGCTGCAGCAAGGCCTGCTTTCTCCACATGGCAATACATCTGGTGAATCAACCAAAACTGATAAAAGGCACCGATGACAGCAAACACCATATGTGCTTCTTTAGATAGGATCAAGCCCAGAAGAACCTTCAACCTTGGGCTTTCAAGGGGAATGCTAGTTCACTCAATACCAGCCTCACATCTCTGTTGGGATCAATACTTTTGTTTTATCTCGCTTACACCTCAGCTCATTTGTCTTCATCCATCCCCAAACTGCCTCCAAACACATGTTCACAGTTCCAGAGACTCTTCGGAGGAAGCAGATGGTAAAGTTGCAAATTGTGTATGTTATTTATAACAATTCTACAGACTAAGACAGCTATATCTTTGAACTCTTAGTTACTTCCAAGTTGTTCTCACAGGTGTCCAAAGGGAGGCTCCTATGGTCTACATAGATTATTACTAATTCTTCACTAATTAATCCTCTCCCTGGAATTTCATTATATTGAGGGAAAGTCACACACTCTCAGCCTCAGAGGAAGCACCCTCTGAGCAAATCTTGTCAGGAAAACTCCATGATAGGGTCACTTTAGGGTTGCCATAAATCGGAAGTGACTTGAAAGTACACCACAACTCACACAGACACACACATTCCTTCTTTCCAGGGAGACTTGCTTGACGCAGCTTTTTCAGTGACCGGTGAAAGCTATTTTACATTCCCAAACTTTTCAGTCTCACCAATAAAAAGTAGAAAGAAAGAGCATTTGCACCTCTTTGCATGCTACTGACCCCTGCATGCTACTGGTTTTATACTGTGGCAATTTAAGTTGATATTTGATGTTACATTTATGTGTCATCACTTAAATATGCGATGACTTTACTTTTCACTCTTGTGAATATCCAGAAGTCTCTGGCTACTGGAAAATATAGAAACGCATTACTATAAAATACAAAATAAAGTATTACTGTGTGGATGGAAGAGTGCCAAGAAACACCAGGTGCTGTAGGATATGTGTCAGAGGAAGGAACAGGCAAAACCACTTCTGAGTATTCCTTGCCTAAGAAAATCCTATGAAATTTATGGTGTCACCAACTTGAAGGGGTATACACACATGATATATATGGTGCATTTGACCACCCTAACACCAGAATCCATCTTCTCTGTCTCAAAATAATTATTCATTGTACCACCCTATACCTGTCTATTCAGAATGAAGATCCACTAAGTCTAATGGTCCTAGTAAGTAGAAAGAAAATTGCAGCCTAAGTGAATGCTGAAGACATCACATTTTTCTGCTCTGTTCCACCACAAAATAAATGAAGTAGAGGGAACTCCTTCCTTCCTTCCTTCCTAACAGCAGCAGCTTTTCAAAGAGTTTGCTGCCATCAGGGAATAATTTTGAGATTAGGAAATGAACTTCCAGGCCACTAGGAGAAGATGATTTTCACCAATTTGTGTTGTGCTCCTCTGTTTCTCTCCAGAAAAGTAGAAGAAGGATAAGACCAGAGAAGAAGAAGAAAAAAACAGTCACACAACTTGTAAATGTGTGTGTTGTGAAGCAAAGCTGGGAAAAGCTTTTGGACTGTAACATCCAGAATCCCCCTGGTCAGCGTAATCAATGGGAAATATAGTTTTTTCTCAGTAGCAGAGCACATGCTTTGCACACAGGGGGTCCTCAGATTCAACTCCAGGCACTCAAGACTATGAAAAACCTCTGAGATGCCCCCCAAGAACTGTTGCTATTTAATGTGGATTCTTGGGAGTAGGAATCTCTAGCCCTCCAGATGTTTTATTTTAAATTTCAACTCCCAGAAGCCCCAGCTACTGTGGCCAATGACAAGTGATGATGGGAGCTGCAGTCCAAAACACTTGGAGGCCCAATGGTCTCCTCCCTGCCCTATCTCCACTGTGGGCATACAATTCTTGGCTAGATGAACTTTCTATCCTCTTCTGCAGCTATTCGATCCCTCCTTGTCATGGCCTCCCCTAAGTGACAACTCACACTTTACTTTCCTGAGAACACAGAGACCATCTCATCACAACACCTCAAAAAGATCATTGAGCAAACAGATGTTTATAAATGCATATCATCAGTCAGGTACATGACAACAAGCACATTTGTACCACCACATGACAGCGAATGCAACCATCAGCATCCGACTTGACTAATCATGAAGATATAAGGTGCGTCTAGAGCTCAGCCGTGAAACCCACCTTGGGCAAATCACACTCTCTCAGCCTCAGAGGATAGCAATGGCAAACCTCTCCTCAACAAATCTTGCCAAGAAACCCCCATGACAGATCCGTCATGGGATTGCCATAAGTCAGAAACAACTTGAAGGCACAGAAGAAGAAGAAGAGTTTATGATCAAATCCCACCTCCACCACAAGTCAGTGAGCAGCCATAGACTCCAACTGTAGCTTCAATTCCCAATCTGTAAAATGGGAACAACAGTTCACCCTACACAGTATATAATAAAGTTATGCACACACAAGTACAGAGTGAATCTCTCTCGGTAGGTGTCAATCTTGCATCTTTTACAAAATGGTGCCATTTAGGGCTGAAACTATGTAGCCTTCCTGATGTTACTACAGCTCAGCTCCCACCAGCTCTAAGCAGCATCACCAGTGGTGAAGGCTGATGGGAGCTGCAATCTAGCAACATCTTGAGGGCCGTAAATTGGCTGTCCCCGCTGAGGCCAAGGCATACTTCCAGACTTCTCCACAGCCCTGTAAAGTGGGCTTTTGCTATCTGCTGGGGTTTGGTTCCAGGTCCCCCTGAGGATATCAAAATCCATGGATGCTCAAGTGTCATAAAATACAATGGCAGAGTAAAGTGGTGTCCCATATATGTATATATAATCTGTGAATGCGGAGGGCTGATTGTATAGTGGTGCCATTAAGACAAAACTCTGGGTCAGGAGTGGCAAGGCTATATATAGGAGTGGCAAGGCTATTCAGAATGAGCAGGAACCCCCCCCCCCCCAAAAAAAAATAGTGGGATCCACACCACCATATGCATTTATGGGATTTTTAAGCCACTTAGCTGTGCGACAAGACCCTGTAACTGACAAAACACATGGGCACCAAATTGCAAGTCTTTTTTCAAGTTCTGGCAGCCAGAGACCACCAGAAACCTCTGGTCTCTAGCAGAATCTGTCCCTTTGGCCCCAAGACGGAGAGCGATGCTCCAACCACATCCCAGACCCAGTGGGAGGCAGGGGCTGGGGGGACAAAGGAGATTAGGTTGAAAGCCTTTGAGTAGAACTGAGCTCCTTCCTTCCTTCTTTTGTCCTAAAACCTGCCCCTGGACACACCAGACAGGATTGTGCTAAGCATGGAGGCAGGAGAGGATCCCAGCTGCCCAAGTGGCTTCCACAACTCCGAAAAGGTCTTGAAGAGGGTAGAGGCATCCATCTGAAGTGCCAGAGAGCTAGACAAAACTATACATGCCTTTGTTTGATAAAAGACATTCCCCCAGGAAGAGAGAGAGAGGGCTGGAGTTAGGGGTGGAAAAGGGGGGTGGAGGGAGAGATAAGGAAACCATGATGCAGGCACCTGAAGGAGACACTTGAGCCAAAGGGGAAACAACGTTCCCACCGCCGGTGGTCTGATCCCATTTGGCAAGTTGGGGATCTCTCCCCACACCAGGAAATGCATCTAAGTTTATGGGCATAAGAAAGCCCCCTGTGTGCCTTCAAGTCACTTCTGATTTATGGCAACCCTAAGGCAAACCTATCCTGGGATCCTCTTGGCAATATTTGTTCAGAAGTGTGTCACCAGTGCCTTCCCCAGAGGTTGAGAGCATGGTCACCCAGAGGGTTTTATGGCACCCTAACACTGGAGATAATGCCAT